GTTCTTCGAAGGTTTTCAAAAGGCCCTGCAGAAGCTTCCCAAAGGCTCGTCAAAAGATTTCAAAGGTTCTGCTGAGGCTCTTCAAAGGCTTTCAAAGGCCTGGCAGAGGTTGACAAAAGCTTTCAAAAGGTTTAAAAGGTTTTGCAGAGGCTTCTAACAGCTTTTCAACAGCTCGACAGAGGCTCCTCAGAGGCTCAGCGAAGGCTATTCCGAGGCTCTTGAGAAGATCTTTAGAGGCTCCTCACAGTCTCTTCGAAGGCTCTCGAGAGGCTCTTCACAAGCTTTTGCAAGGCTCTTCAGAGGTTCATCAGAAGCTCTTCACATGCTCTTCAGAGAGTCTCCAGAGGCTCTTCAGAAGTTCTCAAAGGCTTTGAGAGGCCCTTCAGATGCCTCTCGGAGGCGGCTTTCACTTTTCGTGAAAGTTCCAAGGAAAGCAGGGGTTCTACCTGGGAACGAAATATTCAACCTGGGAGCGAACCGTTCAGCCGGTGAACGAACCTCTCCATTGGGGACCATTTCTTCTCAGAGGTGCCCTCTTGAGCCTGCCGGGATCGAGGCCTCTGGGCGTCGTCGGGGGGTCCCGCCGGGCCACGCTGCAGCGTGATCGCCGCCACGGCTGGATTCCCCTCGGCATTTTTGCCAGACCGCACTCCAGGGGATCAGGGGCAATGTTAGGGGGGGATAGGTGGACAGGATCAGGGGGTACGCATCGACCCCCAATCACCCATTCATCGCCGATTGGTGCCTGATATAGCCCTCCCCGCCCAGGAGCTTGCGGCTTCTCGATGCTGGGTCGCCCACCGCCGATCTGTCGGCGAGGTGTCGCAAATGCCAGCTCGATGTTTTTCCTCCCCTGAGCCCGTCCCCCGCAAACGTCTTGCCCCTTCCAAGGGCGGGGGGGGAACTGTTTGACTCCTGGCGGGTTCGACGAGGCAGAGTGGCAGTGAAGCCACGAGTCCTCGGAGGTCCAAATGCTACATGGGATTCAGGAGGGAAAGAAACACACAGACACAATGAATCGTCGACCCCCAGGAAAATGTGGGAAAATATGGGAAGTTGGGGGGGGGGAAGACGAGAACCGTGAAAAGATGGGAAAATATAGGGGGATCCTTTTGTGTCTATGTATGTTCGGGCCGGACGAAAGGGGGGGATAGGGAAAGGGGGGGGGTATGCATGCAGCTGGGTTCGGCCCCGCCGCGGGGCCCATTCCTCGATACATGGGCGCCTCCGGCGCCGGGAGGCGCCGGGAAAATCAGCCACGTGAGCTGATTCTCAAACCCCCTTTTTACTATCCCCCCCTTTCGCCCAGACCGATCTGTGTGTCCCTGGGCCCCTTCGGGTATGTCAACAGCAATGCACGAGCAGCAACGCCCACGGAGGTCCGAGCGGACTTCTTGGGGCGGCGTCCCCCAGGAAAATATTGGACAAGATTGGAAAATATGGAAAGTGGGGGGGAAGACGAAAACCTCGAAAGTATGGGAAAAGATGGGGGATCCTGTCATTTGTGTCTATGTATGTGTGTGTGTGTCCCTGGAATCCCTTCCAGGTATGTCAAAAGCAGTGCACGAGCAGAAAAACGCCCACGGAGCTCCGAGGCGGACTCCTCGGGGCGGCGCCCAGCGGTCCGCGCGGCACGTCTTCGGGGTCGGCGCCCGAGCCTCCTCCCAGAGTTGAAAACATTGGAGGAGGAGGAGGAGGAGGAGGAGGAGGAGGGAGGAGGAGGAGGAGGAGCAGGAGGAGGAGGAAGAGGAGGAGGAGGAGGAGGAGGAGGACGAGACCCAGGTGGAGGAGGAGGAGGAGGAGGTGGAGGAGGAAAACGCTCAGAGCTCCGAATCATCAGGGGGACCTCGGGTCAGGGCCAACTCGGGCTCGCCTTTCGGGACTCCGAGCCCGAGTTGGCCCCGGGCCCGAGCCACCCCGGATTATGCGGGCGTCCAGAGCCCAAAGTCAGCAGGGGTACCTCGGGTCGGGGTTGACTCGGGCTCGCTTCTCGGGACTCCGAGCCCGAGTTACCCAGGGCCCGAGCTACCCTGGATACCTCGGGCCGAACGAAAGGGGGGGATTGGGAAAGGGGGGGTACGAAATTTGCTGCATGCAGCTGGTTTCGGCCCCACCGAGGGGCCCATTCCTCGATACATGGCCGCCTCCGGCGCCGGGAGGCGCCGGGAAAATCAGCCACGTGAGCTCGGCCCGAATAACTCGGGGGCCCAAGGGAGCTGCACGGGAGGGGGCTATAGCGCCGACCCGGCCCGAGGAAGATCCGCTCGGGCCTCCGAGCGTTTCTGCTCACGCAGTTTGCTTTTTCCTTACCGTGCGGCTCGGCCCCCGGGCCGGGACACCCTCCCGTGGTTCAAGCAGTGGCGAAGCGTCCCGGCTCGCCTTTAGCCCCACTAAACAATGTTCTAAGAACCTCGTGCGGTTCCCACGCAATGTTATTGGAACATTTCTGGCGGGGTCTGTCTTGTTTTAAAACACATCGGGTTCATGTTCTAAGAACATTGTTTTTGTGATTAGAACACTGTTAGGTTCTAAGAACATGTCGTGGTAGGACTATAGGAATGCCGGGACGGTCGTTCCCTGCTCACGTGGTTACCCCCCTGTCTCGGCACTGGGATTCTGGACTCCCCCTCCGGGGCCTCCCCGGCATCCCCCCGGTGGCTAGTAGATCCGGGGGGCACAGATAAGCTGCCAGACCAGCCAAACATGGCCCAAGGGTAGCTCGAGCAATCTCAGGACGGTTCAGGATGGCCAAAACAGTCCCCCTGACGGGCCCAGGGGGCCCGAAGAGCACCCATCAGAGCCCCCCCAGGAGACACAAATCATTGATTCAGGAGTTCTTTTTATTCGCATTTGGCTGCCTTTCTGCTCCTCGGGGCGCCCACGACGGGCCAAGTGGCCCCCAAGCTCCCTCCTAGTCGGCCCGACAGAGCCCCAAGAGTGCCCCAGAAAGAGTCCAATATGGGCCCAAGGCGACTCAGGACGGCCCCAAGAGCCAAGAAGGCCCCCAGAACGGTTCAAGACGGCCCAAAGGGTCCGTGGAGTGGCGCAAGACGGCCCAAGAGGGCCCCAAGAGGGCCAATATTGGCCCAAGAAGGCCCCAAGACAGCCCAAGAGACCCCCCAAGCTGGCCCCAAAACGAGCCCAAGATACTTCCAAGATCGCCCAGGAGGCCCCCAAGATGGCTCCAAAAGGACATCAGAAGACCCCCTAAGACCGCATCGCCAGCACGTGTCCAAGAGGCTCCAAGACTGCCCAAAAGACGGCTGGAGGTGCCCAGGAAGCATTTCAATATCGCCCCCGAGAAGCCGAAGGCATAGAATGTGATGCCCTTTTGCGCTGCGATGTCCTCGTGCGCGGCTAGAATCTAAGCGCGCGCGTGGTTCTGGTACTTCATATGTCTACTGGAGCTTGCAGTGAGCCGCCATGGAGGGGTCCTGAGACGGAGGGCCCCCAGGCTTCTCACCGTGAGCGGCCTCGGGGGGGCCCTCCTCGGGCCCCAGGACTGCAGAACGACAGCTCAAGCATGAGAAGCTTGCCTCGGGGAAGCCCACGGGTCGAGGACCCGTTTCCTTGTGGCCGCACGTCCTTCAAGCGGTCGACCCTCACATATCTATACGTGCATATATCTATATATATATACACACAAATACATACATATACATATACATATACATGTACATGTACATATACGTATACACATATGTGTTTATACTTATTGTATATATATATATATATATATATATCCGACGCGTGGCTGTTACCTGGTGGGCACCCAGGTCTTTGACCAGCTTCGAGCCGCGTTTCCCGGTGAAGGCTCGGGCCCCAGGGTTCTCGGTCCGTGGGCGGGCTTGGGACCCTCGACCAGAGGGGCGGCGAGCGCGTGGAGGAGGATGTCTCAGGAGAGGAAAAAACACACAGACACAAGTAATCGTCGAGTCCTATGAAAATATTTGGAAAATATGGGAAGTGGGGGGGGACAAAAACCCAGAAAATATTGGAAAAGATGGGGAATGTTTTTAGTTGTGTGTATTTATTTGTGTGTCCTGGGTCCCGTTCAGATATGGGCACGTCACGCGCGCAGAAGAGGGGTGCATCCAACATGCGTCCCAGCACACATGCGCAAGGCACGTGTTTTCATACGGCGTCGGCGCCGAAGAGGCCGCAAGAGGGGCATCCCACGCGTGGGCGTCGGCTTCTTCACGCGTACAAATGCGCACGTGGACGCGGCGGGGCAATTGCCCAACCCAGTGCGCGTGTGCCACGTATTTTCGCGCAGGCAGGCGCGAAGAGAGACATCCAGCACGTAGCCGTCGAATTCTTCACCCGTGCACTTGCGTGCGGGGAGGGGGTCCTACATGCTCCTGACACGTGCTCGTGTGGCACGTGTGCTCACGTGTGCAGATCCATCATGTGGTCGTCGGTTCTTCACGCAGAGACCAATACGTTCACGGAGGGGGTACCCAACATGCGCCTGGAGCATGCGTGTTTGGCACGTGTTTTCACGTGTGCACTTGCGAAGGGGGAGGGGGGGGGCATCCAACGAGTGGTCGCCAAATTCTTGCCATGAATAAATACGTGCGCGGAGGGGGGGGCAACATGTGCCTGGCGAGTGCGCGTCTGGCATGCGTTTTCGCGCGTACAGGCGCGGAGGGGCAGCATCCTGCACGGAGGGGGGTCCACAAATAAGCACCTGACGCGTGTGGCACGTGCTTTCACGCGTGCAGGCGCGAAGGGAGGCATCCAACATGAGGTTGCCAAATTCTCCACGTGCAAATATTTGTGCGCGGAGGGGGAACATACAACATGCACGAACTGAGGAAAAGTGAGGAGCACAGAGGAGGAAGAGGAGGAAGAGGAGGAGGAGGAGGGGGAAAAGTAGGAGGCCCCAGGAGGCCCCCGATTGGATGACGAGTACTGTGAGGAAGCCTCAGGCGAAAGACAAGGACCACGCTAGAGCACGCAGCATAGCATATCGTATGATAAAACATCGAGGTGTGGCACACCATCGTATAGGATGCACGTCGGAGTGCGTTTTGGATGAAGTCCCTCACTGGGTTCGTAGATCCCTCAAGTTTACCGTGCTTGGCCCTCGGTCTTCGCTCCTCGCTCGCGGCGTCGGAGCGCAGGGCGCCCCTGGGCCCCGCCTGGCCCCTGGCCTCGTCGGCGGCATCGCAAAGTCAAGCTGGCGCCGTGCAACTGGCTCAGCGAGAACTGCAACGAGTCCAAGTGCTGCAACGACCCCGGCATGATGTGCTACGCGAAGAACGAGTACTGGGCCGAGTGCCTCGAGGCCCGGAGGAGCGAGCTCTCGCACGCACGCACGTGGCTTTCTGCTCCTGCGGGGGCCTCCGGAGTCCTCTGGGCGGCCCCAGATGACTCCTCGGGAGCCCCTGGAGGACTCCCCCAGGCCACCTGGCTTGTTTCGGGGAACGAAGAGTGGCACAAACATGAAAGCTCGGAGTTCCGCGCCGATTTCTCGGATCGGCGCTGGGGCCCCCTGGCGGCGCCTCTGGCGCCGCCCCTGGCGCGCGGAGCGCGCCAGGGAGGGGGGGGTTCAGCGCGGATCCAAGAAATCCGCGCGGACCTCCGAGTTGTTATGTTTACGTCATGTTTACGTCATGCTTCGTTATTCTAGTGATGGCGAGCTCGATCCGAGTACGATGTCGGTCCCACGTCGACCCTTGCCTCGCCTGCCTGCGCCTTCTTGGGGCGCCCTCGTCACCGCGGCCGGATTCGCCTCGGGATTCTGGTCAGAACGCACCCCGGGGTCTTGCACGCGCGGGTCCCCCATCGTCCGCGCACAGGCCTCCAGCCATGGTGCGCTGATCCCACCTCTTCGGCGCGCCCGCCCCCCCCCCCTGACAGGGCCCCGAACAAGAGCGCGGAGTCCGGAGTCCAGCCGCCAGGGTCGAGGGGTTTGGCGCTGCACGGGCTGGGCAGCTGTCTGTGGTCTCGTCGGGGCGCTCGTCATGCAACAGGGGCGCTTCCCGCAGAGGACAGGAATGTCAAAGGGCCTGAGCTGGAACGATGTGACGCCGCATCGTGGATGCAGCTTGGGCTTCTTGTGGTCCTCCTGCCCCCTTCTCCTCCTGACACCTGACACCTGATGGCTGCATAGTCGTCTGACGAAGCCTGCCCCTCGCCCCAGGGCCGGTCGATCCTGGTGGGGGGATCAAGTTAATGCCCTGTGACCCCTGGAGCACCGCTCCCTCCCTTCTCCTCTCTCCCTCTTCCCTCCCTCCCTCGCCTCCTCCTCCTCCTCCTCCTCCTACTCCTCCTCCTCCTCCTCCTACTCCTCCTCCTCCTCCTCCTCCTCCTCCTCCTCCTACCTCTCCTCCTCCTCCTCCTCCTCCTCCTCCTCCTCCTCCTCCTCCTCCCCCTCCTCCTCCCCCTCCCCATCCTCCTCCTCCTCCTCCTCCTCCTCCTCCCTCCCTTGAGGCGTGCGACGCCGGAGAGAACGACACCGCGGGGCCGGACGCCCTGCCCTGGTCCTGCAAGGAGCTCGGGATGAGGACGGCCCCCGCCGTCGTGGTGCAGGAGCTCGCTGTCGTCGCCCTTCGCCGGGCCGAACGACAGGGGGGAGGAGGAGGGGGAGGAGGAGGAGGAGGAGGAGGAGGAGGAGGAGGAGGAGGAGGAGGATGGGAGGATGAGGAGAGGAGGAGGAGGAGGAGGAGGAGGCGGGGGAGGAGGAGGAAGGAGGAGGAGGGGAGGAGGATGAGGAGGAGGAGGAGGATAGGAGGAGAAGGGGAGGGTGGGAGGGGGAGGCGGAGGAGTGAGGAGGAGGAAGGAGGAGGAGGAGGAGGAGGAGGAGGAGGAGGAGAGAGGGGTAGGAGAGGATGAAGAGGAGGATGAGCGAGGAGGAGTAGGACGGCGGAGGGATGAGGGGGGAGGGAATGGAGAGGATGAGGGAGGAGGGGAGGAGGTGGAGGAGGCATGAGGTGGAGTGAGGAAGTGCGGGGAGGTGAATGTGAGAGGAGGAGGAGGAGGAGGAGGAGGAGGAAGAAGAAGAACCAGTGCAATTGGAAGTAACCCTCCCTCCTAGTAGCTCCGTTTTCATAGGCCACCAGAATCATAACCAGAATCATTGATTTATTCTTATGTTTTGTTTTTTTTTTAACAAAACAAAAAAAACAAACAAAAAAAAAAAAAAAAAAAAACGAGCCAAGCCGTTGGGTCGGTTTTGGAGATAGTTGCAGCGATTGCGGCGGCCACAAATCGGGGCAATGTTTTTGTCAAAGGGCGGCATGCCCCCTCCCAGTCCCCCCCTCCGCTCTGCGATGTAGACGTGGCTCATGATTTTCCATGCAGCGATAGAGAGTTGTCAACTAATGTCCAACATGGGCACTTGTGTTTTGTTATTTAGGGGCGACGATCACGCCATCAAAAAAAATCGCGGAATTGATGCACGAGATGGTGACGACAGCCTCCGTCGAAGAAACAAGTTGGCATAGACATGAATGGTCGACGGTCCGCGCAAAATTCTTCGATCTGCGTTGCCCCCCCCCTAGCGGCGCCTCCGGCGCCACTCCTGGCGCGCTCCGCGCGCCAGAGAGAAAGGTCCGGCGCAGATCCACGAATTCCGCGCGGAGCTCCGAGAGTTCATGTGTGTTCTGGTGCCTCCTTCTCCCACGGATGCACGAGGCACGAGGGCGAGAGCTCTGGAAGCCTTCCCGCTCCTCGTCCTCCGCCCCCTCCGCTGGCGGGATCCCCCTCCCGACGCGGCACCGCGCGCCTGCAGTGGAGCCGCGGGTCTGCCGCGGAGGCCCCGTGTGCGCCCACCCCGCCTCGCGCAGCAGTGGGCGGGGGGGGATGAGCGTGCTCGCGAGCCCGTCCCCGCTCCACGGCGCGCCCCTGGGGCTCTGCTGTGCGCTTGCTCGCTGGCAGATTTGCCGCGCGCGCGCGGAGCTGTCAACGCCACGCTTCTCTCGTGTGGCGCTGCTGCGGTCCTGCTGTGGGCGCACACCGCTGGAGGCGGCGGAGAGCGTGAGAGCTCCTTCCAACAAGACGCCTGTGTTTTTTTTCTACGTTGGTGTTGTCCGGGGGAAAAGGAATTTGAAAGCGGCCAAAAAATGCCCCAAACGCGTTTGACACGAATGAGGAATGAAGGTCTTCGGTGGATGTCCTCCAGGCCTCACAGATCAGGTCGGAAAATCGCGTACGCATCGCCGACGCGTCGACGACGCGGCTCGATGTGGAGCCCAGAATTTATCCGCGCCAATAGCGCCGATGCATCGCCGACGTCGCCGATGTATCGGCGATGCGGCGCGATCTTCCGACCCCATCTGCTCGGACCCCGTGTGGGAGGCCTCTAACCCTGGCCTCCCTGCGAACCAAGCCTGGGACCAGGTGAGCGACGCAAAAAAACTGGGTCGTCTGCGCCGGCATTGGCGCTCAAGTTGCCCGCGCAGGGTCGTGCGTAAGCGCCCTCGTCTCCACTGCAGCCTGCCGCGCTGGCGGCCCGCATAAGCCACCGCGTGCGGTAGGTTCGCGTCGTGTCGATTGGCGGCGACCCCGCCGTCGGCGTTCAACCTGGAAGGCCGCAGGCGGTCGATGCTGAACGATCTGACGTTTCGGAAGCGGTTGATAGTTCAAGGTAAAACGATCCCCGCGGTGTCGGGAACCAATGCCGGGGTCGACACGACACTAATTTCCCGTCAGGTCGCCGTGTCATCTCGCGCAAGACCCGTTCTTGATCGTCGTTCAGGTATTCGGTGGGTGTCCGCTCGTGGCCATGCCGAAGCCACATGTCCCCCAGGACGGGGTGCCCAAGAAGTCGGCGCTCTGCGCTTTCAAAGGGGCACAGGCGGAGGGGCCCGGGGCCACCTCCCTCGGAGGGCTGAGAGAAGCGCCCTCGGCCTTCTCCCAAGCCCCGCCGCACTCTCAGAAGGCCTGCCCCCTCCCACTTTCCCCCTGGGCCTTGGCATTGCTCGGACGTGTGCAGTTTTTCCTCGGCAAGGACCATCGAGGAGCATCTTGGATCATCGTACGGAAAAAATGCACGCGCGGAGTCGAAAATGCACGGGGAATGAACGTCCGAGCGATGGCGCGTGGGCGCGCCGCCCCAAAAAATGCGTGTGGAGGGTCGGCGGTGCCCAACATCTTCTCTACTATCCTGCGCCTCCACCTCCTCCTCCACGTCCACCTCCAGCCGCCTTCGGGTGGCGAGGAGACGGCGGAGGAGGTCGTCGCCTGCAGCGTGCGCGGCGAGGACTGTGCCCGGAGCAGGTGCTGCGAGGAGACGGGCTACAAGTGCTACGAGAAGAATTCGTCGTTCTCCGGCTGCCGCACCGAGTGCAAGCCAGGCTTGTACGACCCCACGGGTACCGATTGGAAGCCGTGGACGTGCGTGCTGAAGTCGGAGGCGAACCCCCTGGCGTCCCAGGGCAAGGCCTCTGGCCAAGGTGGCTCGGGCGCGGGTCGGGTGTTCGGTGTTGCGCTGGCTGCGATCCAGGAAGAGGTGGAGGAGATCGACATGAAGCAGATGATGGCGCGAACGTGAGCCGAGAGCCGAGGCCTCCTCCGCGCGACAGCATGCCATGTTTGTCCAGGGCTCTGTCGAGCATCTGCATGTTCGAATAGGCCATTGCCACCAAAAGGGTGGCTCGTGTGCGAGCCTCGGCGGCATTACTCCTCCTCCTCCTCCGCCTCCTCCTCCTTCTCCTCCTCCTTCGCCTCCTCATCATCATCATCATCATCATCATCATCATCAGCATCAGCAGCATCTCCTCCTCCTCCTCTTCCTCCTCCTTCCTCCTCCTCCTTCCTCCTCCTCCTCCTCCTCCTCCTCCTCCTCCTCCTCCTCCTCCTCCTCTCCTCCTCCTCCTCCTCCTCCCCCCGCCCTCCACCTCCTCTCCTCCTCCTCTCTCCTCCTCCTCCTCTCCTCCTCCTCCTCCTCCTCCTTCTGCCTCTCCTCCTCCTCCTCCTTCCTCCCCTCCTTCTCCTCCTGCCTCCTTCCTTCCTCCTCCTCCTCCTCCTCCCTCCTCCTCCTCCTCCTCCTCCTCCTCCTCTCCTTCTCCTCCTCCTCCGCCTCCTCCTCCTCCTCCTCCTCCTCCTCCTCGCAGCGTGCAACGGTACGAGCCTCGACGGCTCGTGCTGTACCGTCCTAGACACGCGCGGCGCCTCGCAGCGGCAGCGCACGTGGACCAGCCTGCGCCGCATTCGCTGCCCATCTGTGGCCGCGCTCTCGGCTGCAGTGGAACGGCCGTGCGAGCGCCGCGGGCAAGAGGGTGAGGATGGTAAGCACGAGAAGGAGGAGGATGAGGAGGAGGAGGGGGAGGAGGAGGAGGAGGAGGAGGAGGGAAAGGAGGATCAAGGGCCGCACTCGCAGAGACAAAGGCCCGCAGCTCGAAGATCGAAGGAGGAGGAGGAGGAGGAGGAAAACGAGCAAGAGGAGGAGCAGGATGCGGAAGAGCGGCAGAAGCAAGAGGAGCGGGGGAGGCGCAGTCGGAGGATGAGGAGGAGGAGGAGGAGGAGGAGGAGGAGGAGGAGGAGGAGGAGGAGGAGGCGGAGCAGCGGCAGCGGCAGCGGACGTAGCAGCAGCAGCATCAGCAGCAGCACACAGCAAGCAGCAGCAGCGGAGGAGGAGGGGAGGCAGCAGGAAGGGAGGTGGCTGGGAGGGAGGGAGATCCCCACGCTTCCGTGCTCTGTACAGCTTCCCTCGGCGGCGCGCCCACGGAGGGAGACAGGATTGGGGGGGGCGGCCCGTGCAGGGCCGCAGGACCGCGCACAGAGGCGCCCCCTGCGGCAAGAGTGCGGCCTCCTCCTCCCCCCCCCTCCTCTCCTCCCTTCCTCCTCCTCCTCCTCCTCCTCCTCCTCCTCTCCCCTCGCCCCTCCTCCTCCTCCTCTTCCTCCTCCTCCTCCCTCCTCCCCTCCTCCTCCTTCCTCCTTCCTCCTTCCTCCTTCCCCTTCCTCCTTCCTCCTTCCTCCTTCCTCCTTCCTCCTTCCTCCTTCCTCCTTCTTCCTCCTCCTCCTCCTCCTCCTCGTCCTCCTCCTCCTCCTCCTCCTTCTCCTGCCCTCCTCCTCCTCATCCTCATCCTCCTCCTCCTCTTCCTCCTCTTCCTCCTCCCTCATCACTTCTCCTTCCTCCTCCCCATCCTCCTCCTCCCGGGACTCGCCACGCGGCCTTCTGAGGAGGCCCCCCCTCCCCGCCACTCAGATGAGGCGCAGGGGGCGCACATGGCCGGTGAGGGGCCGATCCCTTCCGAGAGACTCTTGCCCTCTCAACTGCGAGGCCGCCCCCCTCATCCCAGCCCCCCCCCTCTCGAGGAGCAAGTCAGGCCACAGGCATAAACTTTCGGAGGTCCGCGCGGGTTTCTTGGATCGGCGCTGGGGCCCCCCTCCGGCGTCACCCCTGGCGCACTCCGCGCGCCAGCGGCGGGGGGAGGTTGTTCTTTCTCATTTGCGCGCTACGGTCGTTAAAGGGGGGGGGCCAGGTAATGGTAACGCTCGGGGGGGGGGTACGTCGGGACGGGGATGCGCGGCGATCGCCACAGCATGCGCGCGGTCACCACGCTATGCCTGCGAGCACCATAGACCTCCGCGCGACCCTCCGAGAAGTTATGCTCGTGCCGTTCCTTGCTCCTTCGCTCTCGCTCGCCGCCGCTTCCCTACCCCCCGCGGGCCCGAACGGGCCGGCGCGGCAGGACACGTGCATGCCTTAGCAGACGCCCCAATCAGGCAGGCCTGGGACAGAGGCAAGTCGCCCTGAGCACTCCGTACAGGCCGCGGCGCCCGATTCATCATATCCCAAACGTGCTCGCGTGTTGAAAAAATCGCGACGGGAGGTGTTGGGCCATTTTCGGCCTCTGGGATCCTTCGCCCGACCCCAGGACCGTCAAGCAAACGGCTCGGGATGAAGAACTGGCGCCAGGGACCGCGCACGGAAGAAAAAACCGAGACAGTACATGCCCAGACATCCGACGTCTCGATGTTTGTCGAGGCACGGGCCCCCGACCTCCCGACCGCTTCCCCAGGACCAGTGTCTTTCATATCCCGAGCCGTTTTTTAGCGGTCCCGAGGCCCAGCGACGGCCCCGAGAGGCCAAAAACTGCCCCCCCCCCATAAAAAAACGTCTCGATTTTTTTCGAGGCGCCCGATGTCTGGGTGTCTGGGACAAGATCCGCCAGCTCTCGGCTACGTTCAGGAGGGGAAAAACACACACAGACACAATGAATCCTCGATCCCCCAGGGAAACATAGGAAAATATGGGAAGTGGGGGGGAAGACGAAAACTCCGAAAATATGGGAGAAGATGGGGGATCCTTTTGTTTGTGTGTATTTCTTTGTGTGTCCCAGGGCCCCCTTCAGCTCTGCCCCGGCCGGGCGCTGCCTCTCTCCCGCCTGCGCCTTCCCCAACGAGCAGGCCGCGGCCCCAAAGGGCGGGCCCTGGTCGGCTCCGCGCCGGAGCGCCGGCCCTCCGCGCGCGCGCTCGCGCGAGGAGCGCCAGAAGAATGCCCACGACGCCCTCCCAGACGTCGGGCGTCTCGACAAAAATCGGGACGGATTTGTTTTTGTTGCCATTTGTTCGCCTCTCGAGGCCGTCGCTGGGCCTCGGGACCGCCCAAAAACGGCTCGGGATACGAAAAACACTGGTCCTGGGGAAGTGGTCGGGAGGTCGGGGGCCCGTGCCTCGACAAACATCGAGACGTCGGGTGTCTGGGCTCCGCGTCGTCCCTCCCGCGCGCTGGGGCTCGCTCCCGCGCGGGCAACGGGAGGAGGCGCCGAGGCCACCGCCGCGGAGAGAGGGGCCCCGATCGGGGGAGAGGCGGGAGCCGCCCCCCGGGGGCGGCAGCACGCCCGGGCGCCACGCGCCCAGCACCACGGGGCGGCGCTCGGGCGTGCCGCGGCCCCATCGGTGGGTGGGTGCTCCCCGACGGGTTCTCAGGAGGAGGAGGAGGAGGAGGAGGAGGCGGAGGAGGAGCAGGAGGAGGAGGAGGATCGAGGGGGAGGAGAATCGAGGGGGAGGAGAATCGAGGAGGAGGAGGATGAGGAGGAGGAGGAGGAGGAGGAGGATCGAGGGGGAGCATCGAGGGGTGGCGGTGGCCTCTGCTGCTGCTCTGCGCCGCCCCTGGCGGCGGGGGGGCGGGCGCAGGGATGTGGGGCGGTCTCCCGGGGCTGTCGGCGCCGTGCTCCTGGGGCGCGGCGCGGAGCCCCTTGGGGTTCCCGATCTCTCGCCTCCTCCTCATCATCATCCTGCCCCTCCTCCTCCTCCTCCTCCTCCGCTCCTTCCTCCTCTCCTCTCTCTCCTCCTCCTCTCCTCCTCCTCCTCCTCCTCCTCCTCCTCTTCCTCTGCCCCTCCTCCTCCTCCTCCTCCTCCTCCTCCTCCTCTTCCTCCTCCTCTCCTCCTCCTCCTCCTCCTCCTCCTCCTCCTCCTTCCTCCTCCTCCTCCTCCTCCTCCTCCTCTCCTCCTCCCCTTCCCCCATCCTTCCTCCTCCTCCTCCTCCTCCTCCTCCTCCTCACCCTCTCGTCCTCTCCTCCTCCTCCTCCTCCCTCCTCTCCTCCTCTTCCTCCTCCTCCTCCTCCTCCTCCTCCTCCTCCTCCTCCTCCTCCTCTGGCTCTCCGTTCCGGGCCTTTCACCCTTGGCAGCCCGCGAGAGCGGGCATCCTCACTCCTGCGCGGGGTGCAGAGGGTGAGGGGCGGCCGGACGCGAGAAGTTGGAAGGCCACCCCCTTTTGCCGCCTCCCTCGAAGAGTTGAGTCGGGCGTGTCCCTCTACAGGAGGGATATTCCACAATAGTCAGAAAAAAGTCTGGGGACGATGTTTCTAGCATGTTGGTTATTTAAGGGGTATGGTTTGACTCTTGTTTTATTCTTCTTCCAAAATCCGCCTGTAGGGGGACATGCCCGACCGAACTCTAAGAGTCCGGCGGATGGCGGGTGGCCAGAGTGGTGCCTCGAGGGCGAGCAGGAGGGGTCGGTCTGCAAGGCGGCCTGGTCGCATTAGAGCCGCGCACACTCTTTTAAACGGAATGCAAGAGTTTCACGGATTGGGGCGGTTCCTTTTCAATGTGTGGTTCTCGCTTCAGCGCCGCCCACATTCGCTTTCTGATGTGCAAGAGCTTCACAGATTGAGGGCGGGCGGTTTTCAAAATGTTGCTCTCGCTTTAGCGCCGCGCACATTCGCTTGCAAAGCTGAACGAGCTTCACGGATTTAGGGCGGGTGGTTTTCAAAGTTCTCGCTGTAGCGCCGCGCACACTCGCTCTAAACAATTGCCAGAGCTTCACGGATTGAGGGCGGCTCGTCTTCAAAATGTGGCTCTCGCCTTAGCGCAACGCATATTCCTTTAAACAAGTGCAAGAGCTTCACGGATTGAGGGTGGTTCCTTTTTCAGAATGTGGTTCTCGCTGTTACGCCGCGCACATTCGTTTGCAACATTGCAAGAACTTCACGGATTGAGGGCTGGTGGTTTTCAAAATGCGGATCTCGCTTAAGCGTTGCGCACATTCGTTTTAAACAGTTGATAAGGGCTTCAAGTTGAGGGTGGTTCCTTCTCACAATGTGGCTCTTGTTTGGGCGCCACGCACACTCGTTGCAAACATGTTCAAGATGTCACTGGTTCTTATGGTTAACGTACCATGAATGGTTTTTGGGAACGAACCAGGATTGTCAGGGCGCTACAATACGTTGATTCGCGGTGCTGAAGTCCCTGGAACGGTGTTCTGGCACGATTCAGGATCGCCA